GAGGGGAGGGTCTGTGCCTGGCTTTCCCTGTCTCCTCAGTAGCTGCATATATCTGTGCATTTTGGGGTGGCTGAATCGATATTGTGGTGTCCTTTCTCCGCTTGGGCTCCTCAGTATCCCTCCCGCAGCATTGCTGGCGGGGCTCCCTACCACCTCAACTCCTTTTAGGTTTTGTCCTGGTTTTAAACGTTCTTATCTCACCCTACGAGTATCCTTATCCTTGCCCCCAATCCTCTCCCCTGGGGTGGGGGGGGAAGGGGTTGAACGGCTGTGTTGGCTGCTGGCCAAGGGCTAGCCCAGTGAAACCACCACAGGTTTATAGTGCATGGGGGGGTGAGTGCCAGGGCTCCTCGATGTTACCTCTGAGGAGGAACTATGTGACCCTTCCATGTCCTTGCTTACCTCAGGCTTGGTCAGCATGGCGGATGAGGAGATTGCTGCCCTTGTGGTGGACAATGGCTCTGGCATGTGTAAAGCAGGCTTTGCAGGGGATGATGCCCCCCGTGCTGTGTTTCCCTCCATTGTGGGGCGTCCCCGGCATCAGGGTGTCATGGTGGGCATGGGGCAGAAAGACAGCTATGTGGGGGATGAGGCCCAGAGCAAGAGGGGCATCCTCACCCTGAAGTACCCTATTGAGCATGGCATCGTCACTAACTGGGATGACATGGAGAAGATCTGGCACCACACCTTCTACAATGAGCTGCGTGTTGCCCCAGAGGAGCATCCTGTCCTGCTCACTGAGGCCCCTCTGAACCCCAAGGCCAACCGGGAGAAGATGACGCAGATCATGTTTGAGACCTTCAACACCCCAGCTATGTATGTAGCCATCCAGGCTGTGCTGTCACTTTATGCCTCAGGCCGCACCACTGGCATTGTCATGGACTCTGGGGATGGTGTCACCCACACCGTGCCCATCTATGAAGGCTACGCGCTGCCCCATGCCATCCTGCGTCTAGACTTGGCTGGCCGTGACCTGACTGACTACCTCATGAAGATCCTGACAGAACGGGGCTACAGCTTCACCACCACAGCAGAGAGAGAGATTGTGCGGGACATCAAGGAGAAGCTTTGCTATGTTGCTCTGGACTTTGAGCAGGAGATGGCCACAGCTGCTTCATCCTCCTCCTTGGAGAAGAGCTATGAGCTGCCAGATGGGCAGGTGATCACCATCGGGAATGAGCGCTTCCGATGCCCTGAGGCCATCTTCCAGCCTTCCTTCCTGGGCATGGAGTCCTGCGGCATCCACGAGACCACCTTCAACTCCATCATGAAGTGTGACGTGGACATCCGGAAGGACCTGTATGCCAACACCGTGCTGTCCGGGGGTACCACCATGTACCCTGGCATCGCTGACAGGATGCAGAAGGAAATCACAGCCCTGGCACCCAGCACCATGAAGATCAAGATTATCGCCCCACCGGAGCGTAAATACTCGGTCTGGATTGGTGGCTCCATCCTGGCCTCTCTCTCCACCTTCCAGCAGATGTGGATCAGCAAGCAGGAGTACGATGAATCTGGCCCTTCCATTGTCCATCGCAAGTGCTTCTAGAGGGACTGCTGGCAGTCACCCGAGGGCCGGGATGTGTGCGGGGGCAACCTCCTTCCACGTTGGACCAGAGTTGTTCGCTTGTTACTTAATTTTCTGTTTAACTAACTTGTTGAGTTACCAAGTAGCGATGTGTGTGTTTTAAGGGCTGTAGTTCTCCTGGTGGCTCTCTGGAGCTTGGAGGTAGATGGAGGGTTGTTCACTTTTCCTATGTCACGCGGCTAGGATGACACTAAAGTTAGACTTGTCACCTTTTAGGTTTGTCACAGCTGACTCCTTTGTAGGAAAACAAATAAACTTCTTTGGCTTAACAATTACTGGAGGTTGGTTTGCATCCTTTCAGGGCGGGCTTGTGATCTTGGCACAAAGAATGGTTGTGTGGTACCTGGTTTTGGGCTCCAAGCTGGCCTGCTCAAAGCTTAGAAACCAAAGTTTGGGGTAAACTGTGTACCAGCAGATTGTAAAGCTGCCCTGTGCTGTGCTGACCATTTTAAGGGCTGCCAGGGAGGAAAGTGTGAGTGGTATGCGACTCACGCAGCCTTTCGGGACTTTCATGGTAACTCAGCTTTTTTTAGAACACAAACAGCTCTTCTTGTCAGAAGAAGTTGGCCCCTTGGCGCAGGTTTTGGTGGTTGGAGGAGCAGCAGCTTCTCCTTTTTTGGGAGACTGGGGGGGGATGAGATAAAGGAGCAGATAGTGCTGAGGGGGGAGCTGGTCCCTCCTGCTCTGGGAGGTTGGCCACAGGAGCTCTTTTCCATGGCAACCACTTAATTAAACGTC